TTTGTAAGAAAAAAATTATAAAACTTATTGATAAGTATTTTTAATTATTTAACAATTTTATAAAAATAATTATTATTATGTTTACATATGTTTCCTCATTGTATTTATGACGATATAACTTGTAAAATATAACTGGTGAGATGTATATATATATATATGTTTTTTCTATTCGATATGTATATATTTTTCTTTGAAAATGTAAAAATGCCTCACATAAAATTACATCCTATTATAATATTTTTTTTTTCACCAGCAGACTAGGGACAAAATATATAAAAGAAGAATTACAACAGCGGAAAGTGAGCAAAGAGATATTGCTAGAAGCAATGATGAAGATCAAGGTACTATAAATTCAGGAAGTTCATGCTTTCGTAAGAAAAAATAGAGAACGATATTCTTATTGAGTTAAAATTTATTTCTATTTTATTAAATTTTTATATTTCGTCGAATTTTATAATTAAAAAAAATTATTTTTTGTTTATTATAATTATCGCAAGTGTTTTTCACCAAAGTTTTTCGGGGAAAAACATCTTTTTTAATATTTTCAAAAAGTTGTTCTCATAATTAAAATGCGTCCATTAATTAAAAATTATTAACTGTAATATTAGTAACTGTTTGTAAATTTCAATTATCAATGAAATATATTTATCTTCATCATAAGTATATTACATCGTTTTACTCTACATTAAAAATTAATATTTTTCATTAAGATTTGTGTTAAACATCAATACATTAAATAAATTTGAAGATTTTACATGTTAATTAATGTTATAAAAATAGATGTGTGTTATTCATATTATCGCATGATTAGTTATCGTTCAAGATTCGAGTAAACAAACATTAAAAATAATAAGCATCAATTATACGGTATACGATCGGATACTGGAGTAGAACTGGAGTAGAAACGTTTATAGAATCGATCCGCATTCGCAATGTATCGAGCATGGGTTCTTGAAGCGAGCAAGAGAATTTCCTCGGCGCGAGTGCTCCCAAGCGCCTTTTTTATTTTGCGAATATGAGAGTTTACTGCCTCTCGCGCGCGGGGCAAGAGAGAAGAACGCATCTTTGTCTCTTTTTATGATCGGAAAGTGGCCCGTGGAACGGCCGCGGTTGGGCCCGAGAGACCCAAGACGGCATCGTCTCGTAGCCGCGGCCGTCTTCTTCTTGGACGCCACGAAGAAGTACGGTGGGATAATAACGAGTTTCGTTGTCGTCCCTTTCGCCCTGCGCGAGTCGTAAAGTCAGCCGATGTTAACCCTCCCGTTCCGTCAACCACCGCGCCCGCCCGTTCGACCGTTTTTCTTCCACGGCGATGTGGACGATTGTGTCAAATTTTTATTGCGCCAACGAGCCTGTCTCGCGTTCGCCTCGCCATATACGGCATTGAAACGATGAGGAAAAAGAAAAAGGGAGAGAAAGAGAGGGAGTTTACTTCATGCTTCGTGATTGCATCGATGTTGCATCCCCCGTGGCATCGACAGATTGCAAAGGATAATGATGATAATTGTATATGTGATAACAAATCCGATAAAATATAATAAAAGTATATGAAGAAAAAGTCAGGGACAAGTTATTTAGATTTTCTGATAAATCGAATGAGAATCTTTTTATAAAAGATAAGATATAACCTGATTAACAATAAATTAAATATTAAATAATACAATGACAAAATTACAAAACAATAATATATTAAAATTCGAAGTAACATTATTGATATAATATATTTGATAATTTTTTAATAGCTTTCTCTATTTGGAAAAATTTTTTCAATATGATAATTGCACATCAAGTAAATATTTTGGTATCGATATAATACTCTGAAACTCTGAACTAGTTCGCATTCTGCCATTTTTTATTAACCTTAATTAAATTAACTGATGTGAAAACTTAAATTTTGAATAAAGAAAAGATATTCGGTATAATTCACTTTTTTATCCAGTAAATATGATGTGTTTTATGTTGCGTTTTAGCCTTCATAAATCTGTTAATGGTAAGACTTAATTATTATGTTGAGAAACCTATAAATTTAAATATTTAGATTCACACATTTACTGTTTGATAAACTTTTATTATTCAGTAGGAGTTCGAAACAATTTACGAAATTATAGCAGCGATGGAGCTAGCATTTTCAGAAGGGAAAAATTGCGGTATCGAGAAGAGAAGGGTATTGATTCTTTATAGAGGATTCTTTATAGATATATCGTAAAAAAAATTCAACGACACAAATATTGTATGTGAAATGTAACGGCACATATTATGTTTATCTCAGTGAATTACTTTATAAACAAAATAAGTGGTTCTAAGTTCCTATCCAATGCATTTCTTTTTTTTTCTTGATAAGTAAACTTTTTTCTTATACGTATGTGTTTATTGCACCCGAAAATTCATCCATCCATTCTGCGACACAATTGATTGCACCTCTGTGTCGAAAAGGTTATTACGAGCTGGTTGAGTCCAGGAATTCCTGCGGGAAATCTGCCCGCGACGCCTCGGAGCTGCATGGCATAACTCCGGAAAAAGGTAAAGTTCCTGGCTCGGAACAGAAAACAGAAGACTCGTAAAATTTGTTATTTTTAATAATAATTTCTTTAGATAAGCGCCATGTTTTTACTTGTGAAAAATATTTAATCATACGTATTTAAAAATACGTACTTAAATAATAAGAAAAAATGAGAAAGCAAAATAAAAAATGAACAAATTAATAAATGAAAATAAGAAAAATAAAAATAAATATCGAAATATACAACAGTTGTTTAATATAATTTAATGCATCGTTTTTCAAAGAGAAAGAAAGAGATAACCCTCTATTTCGAAATTAATCAACAAAATAAAATTTTGCGCTCGAATTGGCAATAGAAATATTCAAGATAGATGACTTATACTGTACAATCCGTTATCACATTCGTGTTCCCTGGTATAGTAATATTCAATATGATTATACAGGATATTATACAGGATTACCTGACATTTCGTAATACGTCGATATATTCTTTCTTTTTTTTTTGTTCGCCGAACGAGATACACAGGAGCGAGGAGGCAAAGACGCATTACCAGATTGGCCCGCGTACGCATTCAGAGGGTCCTTTACATTCATGAAGCTTTTATTCGGTTGATTTGACTACGCGCTTCGAATGCGCGGCTCTCGATTTGATTTGCATTGATTGAAGTGGCCGGCTCTCCCGATAACGACCGTTTTTCTTCCGCGGTGTTGCGGATTCCGGATTCTGTAACGCGTAGCGCGATGTTGCGTAAACACGCGTGCGAGCGCGTTTTTACCATTTATTTTAAAAGAATTTCACTACAAATCTTAGACGAGCAAACAATTTTTTTATTAATCCTGCAAAGAGATCTATTCATAAATTAATTGTTCAAAATAGTTTGTCCAATAAGATCAACTTATTTACGTTCTACATCCATTGCTAGAAATTTAATTTATAAAAGGGGAATCCTATAATTTATGATATATTTTATGACAATTATTCATATATATTATGAATAAATTAAAAATATTAATTAAATTTTATATAAAATAAGATATTGGAAATCTATAATATTGAGATGTAAGTTATAAACGATTATATAAATATTGCAATGCGATATATTATCCGAATGTGAGACATATTTTTCTCTTAAATTTTATTACCCACGGAACCATGATGTTTTTTATTGTAAATGTTTTACATATTTCATCAAATATTATTATACATACCCACACAAAAATAATAAAACATATATCGGAGCAAAGCAATATTGCTGCCAGCAACAACGTGATTGAATATGAATACTGTAATACAATGTGTGCAAAATTGTTTGGATATAATAACGCGAGACTCTCCCATTTTTATCGTGAATACAAAATCAGCTGGCAATGTATTCCTCGTCGGACGCCTTACAACAGGCGTCGCGCTCCAGCACCGTGCACGACAACGGCGGTATTGTGTTGGCGTCACCGGCAGAACTCGATGATTAATCGATCGAGTTGTCACGGATATCGTTCTCTCTTCTCGCGCGCGTTGGAAACGACGCCGAAGAATAAGGCGCGTAATACCACGCGGGACGTGTAAACTGTCGCCATTAATAAAAATCATATCGCTATTAAGTCGAAAATATTTACACTGTCGCGCGGTGGGCTGTTCCCTCTCTTTTAACGCGGCGATTCTGATCCTGAAGAGACGGATCTAAAGCCGCGGCGACGACGGAATCTAATCGTCGCGGAATGAGTCTCCACTTTTTTCTCCTTCCTCCTTTCCTCCAGCTTTCCTTTCCTCTCGAAGGGACCACCTGGGAATTTCCCAGATTAAATTGATTCGTACGCGCTTTGCGGCGACCCGATGATCCTGCGCCGTCGCCGTCGCCATCGCCATGATCACCGCATCATTCATCTCGCCGGTGTACTATTAGTACTGTTATTTATGATGAAAAAAAGCGTAGACCGCGAGAGCGGCACCCATTATGTATCGAGATCGGGTCGCCGGGTGATTTATGCCGGCGGTGCAAATTGCCGCTTGTCCTTTGTGAGACGGGCGAAGTGAAACGTCGCCGATTAAATCGGCCACGTTGATCGTGATTTAGCGAAGTTTAGGAGGGCCCGGGCACCGCCGCCTCGTGATGGCGAAATTAGCGATCGCGAGATTACGCTAAGTTTATGCGCGCGAAAAATGCAGGCGTGGCTGTGGCGTCAGCTCCTTCGTAGTTTCTGGGAGTGTGAGATGCGTACGCACACAGACTCACATCGCAATTATTTATAAACTTAATTAAATTACTCGAAGATTAAGATAATGCGATGTATACCTAAGGAACGGCCGCGAGTATCATGGAAAATATTGTTTCAGGTTTCTTTTATATCTTCTTCCATAATTATCTTGATGAAACAGAAAAATGATATATGTAATATGTTATATTAAAAGAAACGAATCTTGAAAGCAGTTCTATTTTCTTCCCTGCAAACCCTAGATAATTGAATTCTTCATTTTTTCGAAGCGTGTCTTCTCAAAAGATTATTAATATATTTTATCCTCATTACCTAATATTTTGAAGCATTCCAATGTTGGATACGTTCGTAGTTGCAATAATTCGCGCTCGATCTGTAACACCAACAGCTCGGCATAATTATCCTGAAGCTTCCTAATTAGATTGGATCGCTGTTTAAACAGGCGCATCTTCCGATCCATGTGCTGGCATTGTCTTGTCTCTCCAGCGACATCACGTTGATACTCCAAATCCCATCTTGCCACGTTCATTTCCACGATTGTCCGGTCGAGCTCGGCGTTCTTTTTCTTCACGCAAGCGATCTTCCGTCGGAGATTTTCCAGCTTGTCCATTTCCTTGGACAAGGCTTTATCCAGAGATTTCTTCGCGAGCTCGACTTCCGTCTCGAGACTCACCGCAGTTTTATCCTCGCGCAGTCCCTTCGCCTTCCTCTTCAGGTACATTCGCATGTCCCGAGTGACCGTGAGGTCCCTCAGAAAGTGCAGATCTTCCTTTAATTCCTTGAAACGCATTCTCAGGCAACGATGTTCCCACTCGGCCGACAATATCCCATGACGGAAGTCGATCGTGCGCTTCAGAGCGTTCAGTTTGCGTGCTCCCGCGGCGATAATGTGCTCGTTAACTTGCTCGATCTCGTTACGCGGCACTAAAATGGCATCCGCAGTGTCGCGTCGTTCACCTTGCAGCTCTAGCTCCACCTGACCCCTCTTGAGTACCAGTTGTATCTCGGCATCTTGCTCGCGCATCACCCGCTCGTCCCTCGCCTTCTTCAATTGAGTCCTGAGGAGGTCCATGCTCGATTTGCAAGCATCGATCTTATGCTCGAATATCACGATCGTCTGCTCGACCATGGCTATCTCCAGCTGCTGAGCTCTGAGCTTCAGTTCTATGTTAATTTTCTGGCGACGCGATTGGGTGAAGTGATTCCAGTGATTCGCGTCGATCGATTGTGGTAATCCATCAGGTCTCATGTCGAGATTGTCGAGAATCTTCGAATAATCTATGCAATCTATCGGTAAATAAGCGGACTGAGTATGATCTACAAGATGCTGCGCGAGGATGAGCAGATCAGGAGCAGCAACGTTCTTCAAGGACACCTTCGGTCTTCGCTTGTACTGTTGTTCAAGAAGCTCCATGTTGACTTTTGACAGCGCAGCGAATTCATATTGTAGCTTCTTCGCCATCGCCTTCTCGCGAATGCAGAGTGCGTCGTGTTGCGTGAGCAAGTATTGGTAAATGTCATGCAACTTCCACACGTGTTCCTTCAGCTCGACCTCGTATTGACGTTTCTCGGATATCTTTCGTTTCACCTTGTCATCCTCTCGCACAGCCTCGACTCGCGCTAGACTTCGCATACGTCCGCGAATATGTCGTAGCTTCAATTGATTCATCGCCGCTTCGATTGTTAACTTCAACTATAAAGTAATATTTAATAAATATAAAAATATGTATTGTAAAATATTAAATAATAATATTTAATAATATTTAATAAATATAAAAGTATGTATTGTAAAAGAAAAAATTAATTCAGTCATCGATGAATTGACAATGAAATGTCAGAATCAGTGAGAGAGAGAAAAAGAGACCTGAAAGAAATCTTTCAATTTAGCATCAAACTTGTCGATGCCTTCTTGCAGAAGTCCACTGATTTTAGCATAATCTGCCTCGAGCATCCTCTTGTAACGTTCGCGTTCTTGTCGAAGAACTTCTACATCCGCTTCGTACTTCTTTACGGCCTTAATATCGTCAGGTGTATATTGCTGCGGCTGTTTTTCCATCATGCACGCGGGCTTACGCACATCTATTTTGATGATCTCCTCCCAACGAATTTCCAGCACGCCGTCCATCATCTTCATCAGGGCGCGTTCGCGAAAATCATCGGCCATCAACAATTGTCTGATTCGTTCGACTTCCAATGCCTGACTGTCCAGAATTTCCTGCTGCGATGGTGACACATACGGCCTTGCTTCGACTTCTTCAGGAAGCACTTGAATGATATTCTCTACTTTCTCCTAATAGATATCGTATTTGCGTATTATAAATGATTAGTGTTAAAATATCATAGTCGGGCAATTATTTTTATTGTATTATAACAGAAGATAGATTAATTTTAATCTTTATGTACTTAATATAAATTTATATTTATATTTTTATTTAATATATAATTTTCAAGACATTATGACGTCTATAATTGCAAAAAATTCATTTAAACTAGCAATTTTGCGAGGAAATATTTCTTTGTTATTCACAGAATTATTTACATTACAGTATGCTTCTGCTACTTTTATTCATTATTTTCCAAATTGTAAGAAAGAGGAGGGACATAAATTTCTTATGAGAGAATTCACTTTAATTTCTCTAACTTTAAAAGAAAATTGACTCTTATATTCTTTCAGGAATTAAGATCGCGGCTTTTGGGACACCCGATAGAAGCAATGTTCGTATCTCGTGTTTACCTTGGGATGCCACTGCGGATCAACAGAAACCTGCAGCATGCTCTGACCGAACATTATCCTCAGCTCGGCGTCTATATGACGTATCCTCTCGTTCCTCTCCCGTATTGCGCTCATTTCCCGCTCCTTCGCCGCGTACATGTCGTCGAAGAGCTCGTTGAAGTAGGCACGGAGCTTGCTATAATCGTGCATCAGATAACGATCGTCTAACGTCACGTGCGCGAACCCGTAAGACTCCATCTGCGAGTAATAGTAAGGCGATTGCTCGACGAACCGATGCGTCGTCATGCCTGCGAACGAGTTCCAGGCGATTAGCGAGACTTAATCGAATAAAATGGAAAATTACAAGTCTCGCAGTTTCATGCAAAACAAAATCCTTAACCTGTTCAATTTAAATTTTTTACTTTCATCCCCTTGCACATTTTTTTATTACCTCTAAAAAAGTGAGGCTGTAAAGCAAAGAAATGTATTATAGAGAATCATTAAAGTATTAAAATGTTATTATTTAATAAAAATGTTTAGGCGTACAAAGTATTGATTTTAATAAATGGCGAGAATGTAATCGATTTAATGTTGCGATATTCATCAAAGAAAATTATCATCTCACCTTCGACCGCCCGCAATTCTGCCAGCTCCTCAGGATCGGTCTCGCGCTCCTCGTCTTCAAGAAGCACATCCATCCTGCGTTTCTTGTCTTCGTGATACACTCTGACGGGTTTACTCAATTCTGCGCGAAGTTGATGGTCCGTGTAATTGCGCCATGGCTGAAAAGTATCGTCCACGATGCTACGCACCGAATCTCTGGCAAACTGCGCCCATTGTAGATGATCTTTGAAATACGGATCTTCCTCGACGAGCGGATAGTTCGTCACTTCCGTGTCACCGCGAAAGGAAAATATCGAGCGACCGAGCACGATTTGCGGATCCCAGAAAGTCGTCTTGATCCAATCGGCTACACGATTCGTAGAAGCGCAGAGATGTTCGAGCTCCATGCGAACGTCTTCACGCTCGTCCTTAGCTGTCTTCAATTTCTGATCGCGATCCGTCTTGTTCAGATCGAACGCGGACACTGGCAGTCTCTCCATCTCTGGACAAGTCTCGTTGGCGTCGAGAAGCTGTTTTACGGTGGCTTTCAAGGCTGCCAGATCCCTCATAATGGCAGCCTTCTCCGTGGCGTAGAATCTTGCCTCTTTCTCCAGTTGCACGTCTTCTCGCCATTCCTCCCAGGATCCGTATTTCCTCTCATCGGCTGCTGGGAAATCCTGTCTGGTACGAGTCAACGAGGCACGAATCGCCGGATCCAGAGAAGCGTAATCGGATAGTATCTTCTCCTTCTGCTCCTCGTACCATCCATGATTCACCGGATAAGTACTTTTTGTCTCAATCGTAGCTAACTCTTCGCTCTCCTATACTACAAACAAAAATTGTCAACATCATTTCATAAATAAGAGCCAGCATGAGGGAGAAATTAAATTAAATGCAATATTAATTAAAAGAGAACAAAAATAAAATCATACATTGCCAGTTGCATTAACACATACCTTTTTATTTTTAAAACGATGAATGCGCACCGCGATTAAAGATCCATCCTGGCCAATAGCGATCACCATGCCACCGTCGTGATCGATGATCGCTCTTCGGCTACCTGAATCGAGTCTGTGATGCGCCGGCACCGCAGCGACAATCTGACGTATCGTTCTGTCGCGGACGACGACCAATCCGTCGTAGGCACACGTGACGATCCAACATTGATCGGTAAACACGTGGGCGAGACGCACGTGATGGCCCGTGAATGTCGCATCTGTCAAAGTCGCAATCGTGAAGTCGCGCTGCAATCTGAACGCGCATAATTGCCGTTCTAGATAAGGCGAGCCTATCAGCAATAGGCCACTGCCGGGCGCTTGAGACAACTCGCAGAAGAGCGCTGGTAGTGTTACTATGTCGCTAATTTCGTCGATCAAGCGATCCTGCGACACGTCGTACGACACATCGTACACGAGAAATTGATGACCCGCCGCGGAGCACAGCTGATGCTTGACGTAGAGCGCGAACACTTTCAGGCTCCTACGTGCTTCGTCGTCGTACAGCACCAGATCGACGAGGCGCCTCCTCGTCCGGAGCTGGGCGATCACGCTCCACGGCTTGTCGCGCCGCAGGTCTATGCAATAGCAATTGCCCGTATCCTTTTGCGCGGCGATCAGGAATCTGCCGGCAACATAAATCGACCAGTGAGAGGTGTATAATCCGTTGAAATAACGAGCGTTTATCGACGCTCGAAACTAAATACGTTTGGCGGAGGTATATTTAAAAGAGAGTCTATCAGCTGTGTTTGTGTATGTGTATATGTGCCCTTTTGCCTATGGGAACGAAACATGGAAAATTAACAGTTACGTAATAGAAAATCATGTTGTGAAATATAATGAACGATACTGATACACAAAGAACATTCTCACGTGGTGCAATTTTATTTATCTTTTATCTACATACTTTTATTAGAAATTAGATAGGGAAAAGTTTTAGTTTTTCAGTTTGATTTGTGTATTAAAATATTATTACGCTCTTGTCTAAAATTTCGCTTTTGTTTAAAATTATATATTTAATACATCTTGTAGATTTTGTAAAGATATAAAATAAAAATGAAAAAAATTCTTGATTAAAATCTATTGATATTATTAACAATAGCATATATTAACAATTTATATTACAAATTTTATAAAATTGGATTTAATAATTAATTTCATAATATTTTAAGCTTACTTGCCAGAGAGAGAGAATTTTATGAGATCCAAGGATTTTCTCTGAAGACGAAAATATGTCAGTATCGTTGGTTGTTCCGGATTAGTGACACCTACGATCGTCATTTCACCTTGATCGCTGATAACGGCGATCATTGGATCATTCGGATGTGACGTTTGAGCGGATATAACTCCTTCCATGTCGAGCTCTACTTTCGCGACTTCACTGCCACTGTAGCATTCGAGGATGGTCAACTCCTTGAGTTCATCCGTCACCGCGAGATGATGACACCAAGGGTACAGGAAATCGACAAATTGATATTTACTGCCATGGTATAAGTATCTGTAGATTGTTGGCGTGGTGCCTTCGTCCTCGGGGAGGACTATCTGCATCAGGTATCCCTCGAGAGTATAATAGAAGAGCCAATCGTTCCTGAAGGGATGCGCGACCAGTATATGCGGCTTGTAAATCGATTTGACGTACCACTGCTTGCGCCAAGAGCTGATCTTCGGATCCTCCTTAAAATAGCGGATCTGACAGAAGGTCGTCCTGAGGATAATCCCTTCGCGAAACCAGCACACGGCCGGTATCTCGGTATCGATGCAAATTCCGCAGCGTTGCGAAACAACGATGCGGCGAACATTAGTACCGTCGTAGTCGCTCAAATATATGTGACCATTTTCATCGGTGATGGCCAGTAAAGGATGACTCGACGTGGGGCACCAGCTGATGCCGAAGATCATAGCTTCCTCCGGTAATTTGACTTCGTAATCTTTGCACAAAGAAATATATACATATTTTAAGATCTTCAACCGAGATATGTCGTGCCATTATACTTGAAAGGATTGGAAAATTGTTCTGGAAGCAAAATCACATGCCTTTCAGGATGACAATCTTGCCGATAACATCGAGTTCCCAAGTCAGCAATCTTCCGCAAGTCTTTCCCATCTGACCAATGATAGTGCGTCCTACCGGAGTTATTCTGAGTATTTGACCGACTTCGTCACGTATAGGCGTATCCATAATCACCATTTTCTCGCCTGTTCTCCAGCACCATACGATCATCGGGAAGTTCGGGTAAGAGCCCAACGACACGAGGTGATCGCGAGACGTGAACGCGATCTCCAAGTAACCGCTTTCGCATCCTTGAATGCATTCGCAGATCTTCGTCATCGAAGGATAAGCGAGGACAAAGATTCGCGGATTCAGCGATCTCTCAGAGAAGGCGAAAATTGGCGAGGACACATGACTAGATATGCAACGAACACCGTCGCCGGTCGCATTGTTCCAGCACCAACGCAATGTCTGCCGCTTCTCGACGACGTGAAAAAATACGATGTACAAACCGGTGCACCAGGCAAGCACGTCCCTGCCGATCCAAATTATTTCTTCAATTCTACTGCCTTGTATCCAGCAGGGTGAATAACCAACAACTTGATTCATCTGCGTGAAATTTTCGCGACGATTATGATAATTAAAAATGATAATTAAAAATTATTAATTGATTATAACCAAGAAGGACTTATGATCGCGTTGACAACAGTTGAAAAAGAAACATATCGCAAACAAATTAAATCAGTAATGATGATTGTCGACTAACTCGATAAATGTAACTGTTATAGAGTAAAATTAAAAAAAAATTATCACTATATGTTTATAAATAATAAAGTAATTTCGGTGGATGTATTATTGTCGATTATTACTTCCTTTAACTTCCTCTTTCTCACAAAAACAAAATCACATATTCGATATTTAATAAATTTAAATAATGCGACTTCTTGCTTATAATCATGTTGTTAATTTGTGTTGACTTTTTAAATTCCTCAACAAATATTTTCGGATTTTTTATAGCATATTATTCAACGCTGCTGCCGCGATTGAACGACCGACAAACTTCTTATTGCCCTCGGCAATATTCGAGACTAATTTCCTATGGGGTTAAAAGTTTCCATTGTTCTCTATTGTGAAGGCAACAACATAAAAACCCGAAACCTCAACACATTCAGTTGCTCAACATTACATTATATAAACGTTTTCTTTTTTATGATAAAAAAGAAGATCGAATCAGATAAATATATTTTTTTAGTATCAGATATGAAATTTAATTACTGAATATTGCATTTTACAATAATTTTGCGTCATTAAAAATAATCTTATTAAATTAAAAATACGTAATTAATTTAATGTGTATTGCAAATCAATGATAATTTCTATAATATAATGTTATAATATGTTAAAAAATTTCATAAAATTAATTAAAGCTGTGCTTTCCATGGTTCTATAATACAACATGTTGATGGCAAGTAACATCTTTTGAAAGCGATAGAAGACATAACGTTCATTCATTTGTCCAACATATTACTAACGATGAAGTGGAAGGCATTCAACTTGGAGAATTACCTGTTTAACTGTTGCGCCTCTCTTGTCTTTGTTCAATTCAACTAGTGACAACTATTCTCCGACAACATCCTTCATATTTATTATCTAACTGTGTTTTAAAAGATTCTGACGGAAGATGGATTTATTCCCATTGAAACGAGGTATTCATCGCTTTATCGATTCAGCTCAATAAAACTGCGCTTGAGAAACAAAACGAAATAAATAACTAAAAATTTTTTACTGAAGGAACCGGAGATCCGAAATCGTAAATACGCACTTTTAGAATAAATTAAGCGTAAATAAATTTACTTAAAAAAATTGTCGATATATTTATCTAAAAAAATTTTTTTTAGAAATATAACTTGTTTATCAAAAAAATGAAAGAATCATTTTCTTTCTTGGGAATAATTAATGAAATTTGTTACTGCATAATATTTTTCAATCGTATGATTGAAAGATTTTTTATACGTATGCTTGACAAGATTTTTATGTATGTATATTTTTCAAAAATTTGTTATATAAGCAATAATTTTGAGCTTATAAACATTATTCTATTTTTTCATATAATATAAAAATAAAAAGTGGCTATATATTTATTTCTATAATTACTATTTATGAATGTAATTTTGCATTTTTGTGCGCCAAGAAGGGTATTTTCTTCGAGTGTATCGGTGACGACGACAGATATTTGATTTCTTCAACAAAAGAGTCAGCACACCGATCTCCCTCTCTCGAAGAAAGAGTTTGGCAGGCTTAAGACAAAAGGTGATTAGGATACGCGCAGTCGATGGTGGTTTATAAAGACCCCCATAGCGTAGCGTGATGAGGTCAACCAGCAGGGAGTCATCCCTGTATAGCGAGGCCCGATCAAAAACTTATCCTTGCCACGTGATATACTGCCCGTGGATGCCTGCCAAGCGTTCTCCCTTCGCTCACTCTCGGTTCCCTCTCTTTCCCTCAACATTTCGTCCTTCCTTGCTCTCTCTCTTTCCCTCCCCTTCGACCTGGTCCTGGCTGCCCTCTCTGACCGGCAATCTGACTGACTGACTGACTGCCTACCTTGAGACTGTCCGATCTCGTATCCTCGCGTATCCGCGACCGAAGAGACCACTCGCTTCATTCGCGCTGGCCGTACGCCATCGTTTCGTCATTAAAGTGACGCCCGCTGAGATTTGTATTTGCATAACCCAACGACCGCGTACGATCGGCGTTATCGACGAATGTCAAAGAACAACGAGCGTCGTCTTTCCGATGCTTAGACCGACTCACGTGGGAATCTGAAAAGCGGTGACGAAATATCATGCACCTTGCACGGAGAGAAATGCACTCGATTCCTTTGAGCATTTTTACGCACGATACTTTGATCAGCTGTAACTTTTCATTCAAGCAATATTTTAAATAACAGTTCTCCAATTTTGTATAGCATAAAACGGTATGTATAATATGTCTTATATTTAAATCAATATAAAATACATTTATGATGAATATATTTTATTGGTAGTTGATTTGCAAAGATCTATTAATATTATAATTATAATTAATTTTATAATTAATAATTGCACGATATTATTATTATAATTAATATTATAATTAATAATTGCACTTTTGATTTTTTGATTAATAGAAGTACTCTAATTATGAAATCAATTTTTTTTAAGTGAAAAAAGCATTTTCCCTCGGACTTCATCTTAGATAACTGTAATTAACAAAAATAATGTTTCTTTTAAATTATAAAATTCGGTGAAATATATAAAGTTCATATTTTAAATAAGTAAATCTCAATAAAAATATTGAATATTTATAAGAATTGCATCTCTTTCTATTTTTTCCAAAAAAATAGATACTTAGATTTGCCTTCCGTCATTGCTTCTAGCAAAGTCTCTTCATTCTATTGCACCCTTGTAGTTTTTCTCTTATATGTTTTGCCCATAACTTAGTCAAAATAAATAATAAAAAAATACTACAATAGAACTAGGAAAGTAGAACTCATATTACTCTTATATGGAGCATTTCTGCATTTCTGCAATTTTAAAGTATTTTTAAAAAAGTATTTTCTTATATATATGAATAGAAAAAATATTTGTACACTGTTCTGTCACTGGTTATATTTTATAAATTACACCTTTAGAAATATAGTGAGAACAAACATGACACTCAATTTTATGGAATGAAAAATGACTAAAAATACTTATCAATAAATTTTACAATTTTTTTTCAAAAATTATTGATTCTTTTAAATTTAAAATTGCATTTAGAGTAATTATGTGTGTAGTTTTCCTGTGATTATCTATTTCCGTTTCAATAACATATTACTAAGCTCATTATATCTAAGTAATGAGGGATATTTTCCCTGCCGGAGCGTATTACTCTATAAAAAAGCAGATTTTTAAGCAAATAGGAATATTTATATGAACACACGAGGTAAAGAAAGAGTTTTGAAAGAGTAATTATCATCCATTGGTGCAATTTTATGGTATTTTATGATATTACAGCTTTCTTTACTTTTACGCGGAAGACAGATACACATCCCAATAGTTAAGATATTTCTACACGTATGCGTGATATCGCTTAACGCTGGTATTCGCGTTTAATCTTGCGATCTCGTGCATTGACTCCCGGGAAAGGCAGGCGCGCGCGTCCCGCGAGGACGGCGGAAAAAAATAGCGATCCGAGTCGGAAAGAGCGGCACGGAGGCAAAGGAGCATCATCCGCGCGCGTATACGCGTCGGTCGTTCCTCAACCGGCACGCACACGTGCTGCGCGACGAGCAACCACCGTCCGTCTCGTATCACATCGTCCGTGCAGTGTGGGAAACCGCGCCGCATTCGAGAGATAGGGGAGAGCGAGAGGGAGGCTGCGCTCGAAAAGAGGGAAAGAGGAAGAGGGAACGACTCGAAACGCGGCGAAGTAGCATTTAATCAGAGCCCCGCGTCGAAGTGCACGGTACACGTGTATACCGTGTATACCGCGAGAGGAGGGAAGGGGGGAGGAAGGGAGGGAGGGAGGAGGAAGGGAGCGGAGAGCGGTATATGGTTCGGTTAGTTTTTGCTCGGGAGGTTGCCTGGAAATTGGCGCCAAATTAGTAAGGAGGACGAGGCGAGGCGAGGCTCCACGGTGCCTTGGGCTGCGTGACGCGAGACATTAAAAGTAACCTCTGCTCTTGTACACCCCCGACCCTCCGCCGATCGCTGCCGCTTCTCTCCCGTTCCCCATCCCTCCATCATACTCGGGATCGCATCTTTCTCGCTCTTTTCCCTGTAGCATCGCAGCAACCATTTCTTCCTTCTTTCTCCCGCTCCTCCTCCTCCTCCTTCTCTTCTCCTTCTTCGTCTTCTTCTTCTTCTTCTCTTCCTTCACCTCCTCCGCAGAGATGTCCGTGCTCCGGAGAAACGAGCAGCAGCTTAGAACTCCTCGGCCTCTCCCAGTAATCACGTCCGCCCAACGAAAGGAAACGAGAGAAAAAGAAAGAATTCGCACTTACGCCGAACTCAGGTCTGCGTAGCGCGATTGGGGGGATAGGTGGGTAGGTAAGAAGTATTGAGGGGGAGAGGGAAGCGTGTGATACCGAGCCGAGGCTGGTCGAGAATGGTCGTTGTCGAAAAAGGGTATCACGCCAACGGTCGCGAGAAAGCCGGGTCTCCTGCCCTCCTCCCTCTCTCCCATCCTCCTTCCTCTTTCAAGTATCCGGCACCATAGTGCACGGAATGACGCTGCCGGGACCAACAGCGGCCGAGGTCTCTCACGGGCCCGAGTGTTTTTGTCGCTGTTACCTCGAAGATGCGAACGTCTCCAGAAAATTTCCGTAAAATGAGGAAAGGTTTGCAGTAAATTTGTAGACGCCCCGTTAATTTTTTCGACGAATGGGAAAAGATTACTGACATGACATGATATGAATATAAAGATTAATACTTGTTCGTGGAACTTGAAGCTTTGCGAGATTTCAACAAAATGCACTGGAAAACGTTTAGACGCACATTCTTTCAGAGATGATTCTGTAAAATAAACTGAATGTGATTATGTGATTATGATCCAGTGATTATAAGAAAATCTAAATTTCATATTTA